TAAGCCTGTCTTTACATCCATCTGGTGTATCTTCAAGATTACGCAAAGCTGCTATCGCAATCACTATGCGAATGGATGTTATCCTAGTTACAGGTGAGTACGTATCAAAAGTAATCCAGGCCTTCTCGTTGCATGTACCCTTTGATAACGAGCCTCGCCTTATACTTGTCAATAGACCTATCGGCCTTCATCTTTCGTTGTTGGTAAAATCCAATTGCAGCCTAAAGGCAAACCTGAGTAAATCTACAAACTCCCAGGTGGTTCTGTAAGATGGAGTCAATCTCACTTTTGATCGAGTTTCAGACTTATGTACAAGAAACCGATATGCACTACTATAATGTGTATAACCAATGAATATACAATCCATGGATTTCGGGCCTATCCTAACATGTTTGGGTGTAGGAATTGCCACTTTTGCAAGACACCCCCACATTCGTAAGAATTTATACGAAGGCTTAACGCCTTTCCATAACTCATACGGCGTCTTGTCCACCTTCTTTTGGAGTACTTTATTCAGAATGTAATTTGCAGAGAGAATTGCTTCCCCCCCACAAGTTCTGTGGCAATCCAGAACTTATCAACATTGCATTCATCATTTCCTTTAGCGTCCTATTCTTCCGCTCAGCAATCCCATTAGACTGAGGAGAATAAGACGCCGTGGTTTAGTGGATAATCCCAGATTGAGCACAAGTCTCAATAAACGGAGATTCATACTCACCACCACGATCACTTCTTAGAGCCTTAATCTTGCGGCCTACTTTATTCTAAACTTCATTCTTCTAAAGAACAAACTTGTCAATCGCCTCATCTTTGCTTTTGAGCAAATAGACATAACAATACTTAGTGCAATCATCAACAAAAGTGATGAAGTATTTATTGCCACCACGTGATTGTATAAATTTTAAGTCACACACATCACTATGCACTAAATCCAACGGTTCTGAACTTCTTTCAATAGAATGAAACGAAGATCTTGTCAACTTCGCTTCAACACAAGTTTCACACTTGTGTTTCGGATTAATCTTAAAAGATGGTATGTAATCTAACTTGATTAATCTACGTAAAGATTCAGAGTTCACATGTCCTAGTCTACCATGCCACAAATTAGAAGACTCAAGCATGTAAACAGAAGAAGATGCACTTTTATTCATCTTTGGGATAACAGTCATAACATTGAGTTTAAACATACCCCCCAACATATAACCCTTACCCACATACATTCCGCTTTTGGTAAGAACGACCTTGTCGGAATCAAAAACCATGCGAAAACCATGTTTACTAAGAAGAGACCCTGAGACAAGATTTTTACGAATGTCCGGAACATACAGGACTTCGTTCAAGGTCAGCTCCTTTCCTGACGTCAACTTCAAGACCACCTTTCCTTTCCCCTCAACAATCGAGGTAGCAGAGTTTCCTGTAAACAACTTCTCACCGTTTGTAACCGGTTCGAAAGTTGTAAACAGTTTCTGCTCGGAGCAGATGTGGCGTGTAGCCCCAGTATCAATCCACCATTCTCTTGGGTTTGAACCCACCAGATTCACCTCAGAGACAATGGTAGACAAGTGCATATCATCGTCCTCATGGGAGTGCTCTTGTAAGTCTGCCATATGAGCACGAGGTTTGGTCTTGTATGGCTTCTTCTGCTTGCGGCACTCACTAGCCCGATGCCCCTCGTTACCACAGTTATAACACTTCCCAAAGAACCGATAACCAGGTTCCTGCAGCTTGTAAGCTGACTTCTTTGCAACACCACCCCTTGGCCCCAACTTAGAGCTCTTGTTCACAGGGGGCTTCTTCCTTATCCCAAAAGATTTGCCATGCTCAACGACATTGGCCTTTACTGAGGAGGTACTCCCTCATTTCTTTCTATTATCCTCTTCAATCCGGAGTCGGACAACCAGCTCTTCAACAGACATTTCTTTGCGCTTGTGCTTCAAGTAATTCTTGAAATTCTTCCAACCATTGGGAAGTTTCTCAATGATCACAGCAACTTGGAATGACTCGTTCAAAGGCATCCCCTCAGCATGAATTTCATGCAAGAGATTCCCATAATTCTTTTGCTGAGCTCTTGAAACAAAACACACTATAGAGTGAGTCTGCCAAGCTGTTGAACACATAGTTCCGGCAAAGATAGTCTGTCTGCTTCCATGTGTCAAGCGCCATGACTTTCTGCCTGTCAGGCTCATTCTCTGCCACGGTTGGAGGATCCTCACTCAGAACCTTGGCAAGGTTTAGCGTGGTCAAGTAAAACAGCATCTTTTGCTGCCATCTCTTAAAGCTTTCCCTAGCAAATTTTTTTGGGCGCTCATGGTGACTAAGCGGTCCTCCCGGAACAGCCGGAGTAACACCAGGGTTGACCACAAAGGTCACAGCAGTAGGGGTTGGCAATCCAATTGCCCCGGGGTTCAAATCCCCACTAACATTAGCAGTAGCAGCAGCATCAGTGATAGTTTCTATTTCGAAAAATTACACCAGAATATCACTTCTGTGTTTCCAGAAATTAAACTTAACCTTTAGAAAATCCCTTAGAAGAAAAATTAATTCAAAAATTAGGCTCAACACAAAACCTAGAATCGAACATGGTCAAGAAAGTTCCCAGGAAGACTGGAGGGGTCACATCGGTCCCACTTAAACTCAGTTAACCTTTTGACAAAACTTTTAAGAGCATGTTGACTCCTAGCCCGTGATAAACAAATTAAGAATTAAATTTTCTTAGGGATGAACTAGGTTAAAGCAAACCAGGGTCCAAAACTTTTACAAGCAATCTAAAACCATTGCTACAACAATATAAGCAAATAAAACTTGCTACTACAAATTGGTAAACAAATCAATTACATCTCAAGCAAACATGCTTTAAACATTTTGATAAAATAGTCAATCCATACGGATTCTATGTAGTCCAAAAGCTTTTCCACGCTTAGGTATTCCTATTCAACACAAACGTTAGTAGTCCAAACATTTTTGTTTTTACATCCCAAATTCTATTCATTTGGTTTTATATTTGTTTTTCGCATTGGTATCCCTACAAAGAAAGTTAGTAGCAAACCACAACAAAATACAAACAAATAATCTAAAAAATTTAATTATAATAAATAATTGAAACCATCTAGCCAACTATTAATTATATAAGTAACCAACTAATATAAGGTACCAAAACAAAATACAATTTGTAACTTCAAAATTAAATTACAACTTTAAAATAAAGTTCAATACTCATAAGTCATGAATGAAATTAATTCATAATAAACATTTAAACTAATAACTCCAAATAGATAAGTCAAATTCAAAGTTAATGCACATAATTAAATAATTTAAATTAATGCACCTAATTAAATAATTCAGTTTCACTCAGCTTGTTGTGGGTCATGAGGAGGTTATCAGGTTATCGTTTATCTCAAAATCATAAATGCTTTTAACTTTATCCATAGTTCAAACTAGCCAACATATCATATGAATATTTTGCCCTCCAAGTGAGTGTGCATGTGCTCGTGCATGTGCATTTTGATATACTTATCGGCCTCAAAATGCAAAATGTCAGCTTCATTGTTCCAAGTTTTGAGATTTTCTATTGCCATATTGTGGCAATTTTAAATGCAAAAGCAAATTATGCCTCAAGAACTTTAACCACCATAAATATTGATGAAATTTGAAGCAGACCCATATTAAGTCCTGTGAGAATGATCATGATTTGTTTTAGTTTATAGGAACCTTTCTTTCTTTAATTCTGAATGTCTTCCCTTGGGTTTCTCAACAACCAAACAGTGAAATTTGTTCTTTATGTAACTGAGAAACCCATCTAATTATTGCTTTGAACTAGTCGACTGAGCTGAATTACTATCTCTTACTTGTAGATTTCACAATATTGGTTATGTTGTTCAAAATTGTGAAATTAAATAAATAGATTTATGAAGAAAACAAATTATATACCAAGAACATATGCTGATAATTACAACTAAATTTCAACAGAAATACACAAAAAACAATAAAGGATAAAGAGACAAAACCGAAGCCTGCACGGAAGCAGTTTCCTTAAAACAGATTTCGCCGCCTCACGGGTCGAGTGCTTGAGGAAACCCGGCGTCTGTCTCCCAGGATATGACGGTCAAAACCAGTTACGGCAGAAACACTATCTGTCTAGCTTAGCGAACAAAACAATGGCAGCACTCTCTCACAATAGGAACTATCAAGCAAACTGACTTGTAAAATGGAAGCAAAAATTTCTATATTGAAACTTGACAGGAGGGTCTCAATTTATACATGTATAGGGGAGAGAGGAAAAGCTTCTAGCCTTTAAGGCTAGTCATTAAAACACCAAGCATCCATAGCCCCTTTCCACAAAATGAAAAGTATGGATGCCCAAAAGATTCACACCCTTTAGCCAAGAAAAAAGATTTAAATACTCTTTAAAATCCTATTCATGAATCTAACATCATGACACAATTTCTTAGCAATTTCTTATTCAAAACCCAATGGTTTTTGGCTCACTTGGACCAAACACAAAAAATGGTTAGGACCCACTTTAATATTTAATTAAAGTTACCACACTTGAATATTAAATTAAAGTCCCCAAAAATCATTTTTTCCAACAAATCGTTGGTCTATTTTCAAAAACACACATTTGCCATCCATTTTTCTTTGCAGGAATTGATAATTAATTAACGGTGAATGCTATATTTTAAAGTTAATTAACGTACCTTTCGATCCAAGAGATGGAGTTGAGACGAGGTTGAAAAGTCTGCCTTTTGTTGTTGCTCTAGCTTGCGCTAAAATGCTAATGGGAGTATCTTCATTTTGGGACACTTGATTACTTCCATTGTTTTCAACAATGATCCCTCAAACGTACAAGCCTCAGAGCAGAAACTACTAAGATTTGGCAAATCACTGAGTTTGAGACTAGTCAGTTAAGGGAACATGATCACATTTGTTATCGCTGCATCATCTGCATTTGGTTCATTTCCAATGATTGATTCCATCATACCACATTCAGTTACCTCTATTTCTTGTAGTTTTACAAGAAGTTTGGCTAGAGAGTATGAGAATAGATTTCTCAAACCATCACAATCATTTACTATTAAGGATCTTAGATTCTGAAAGCCTTGAATTCCTGGTGAATTGTCCTTCCAAACATGTGTCAACTTTCGTAGATGGCTTAATTCCACATATTTTAATGAAGGGGGTACCATATCTGATATGCCGTCTTCCCAAACAAGTCCTTCAAGGTCAAAGGCTACTCCAATAGATCGACAGTCCTCCACTTCAAGTACTTCAAGATTTTGCATGCCCTTAATTGAATTGGATGGAAAAAGAATATTTGAGAGCCCATGACAACATTTAACTCTCATCTCTCTTAGTTTAGCTTGAAGTTCCCCAGGCCAAATTTCCATCAGATTCTCCATGCGACAGATGGTTAATTCTTCAATTGTAGCCAATTTATCCTGTGAGTTCATTCACATGGTGTTACAAACATAACTAAGCACAACAAACTTGATTCCATTAAACATCATCCATTTAGTTTTCAAATTAATATACTTCATATATTGAATAATTAAATGTAAACAGTTCTTACAAATCTATTGCAATACATTTTTTAGATCATTGACCTAAAAAACCTAACCCATTTTATTAGATTCTTGAATTTTCCAAATATAAAAATACACATTAAATTTATTTTTGGTATACTGAGATTCTTAGGTCCCATTTGGGAATAGGTTATTTTAGTTAGTTTTTTAACTATTTTAGTCTGGCTAACAAAGTTGTGTTTAGGAAAATAATTGACTTTTTTTTTTTTTATAATTGATTTGATGGTTGTAAGAGAAAAATAAATAAAATAATTATGGTTCGAATGTGACATTTTGTCTTATTAACTATTTTAATTTATTTTATCTTTATTAATTGTTTTAACCCAAATTCAACTTTCCAAATAGGGCCTTAATCTAGATTCTTAATCCATCATAATCTTAATACACCATATATTCATAAATTTTCCAAATATAAAAATACACATTAAATTCAAGGTGATGGGGCGTCAAATCAATCAGTAGTTAAATGAGGTACAAGAATTTTTTCATGGTTATAAGAATCTTAATTTAGATCGTAAGATGTTACGATTTTATAATTTTAATTGGGTCAAATAATTTGAATCACAGTAAAATCTTAAATTTATTAAGGGTTGTTTTGGCAAATGCAAAAAAAAATTAACATTTTTACTTTTTACGAAAAGACATAAAAAAATTAAAAAAATGATATAACCCAAATATGTCAATAACCTGACTTTTTTGACAATTTTCAAAAGAAGCCTAAGATCTTGAAGTGACTATAATTATAGTTATAAAATCGTATAGAATCACATTATAATTCTGATTCTATTAGCCCTATGATCTGCTTTTACTACAATCTCAATCCTACCAATGTTTTTTCTTATTATTTATTTCTTATATTTTTGTGTATATCTATAAATTTGACTATAAACTTATTTCTCACGTCTCTTCTAATTTGTGTTAACTTTGAAAATAGGAAAATACTACAATACACACAATTTGAGGGGTGTATACCATATGCACTTTATAACAATAGAAGAAAATGATATAATTTCATACTTTCTGAATCGTAATTAAAAAAAAAATTCATAACCAAAATCTCAAAATAATGTCATAACTAAAGAAAAAAATTAGTTATAACTAAAGAAGAAAATGGCGTAACTAAGGGTGCATATGGTATGAGGTGTGTATAATAAAATTCTTCTTGAAAATATATTATAAGGCAAATTACACCGGTGGTCCCTATATTTTATCCCTTGTGTCATTTTGATCCCTACACTTTCAATTGGCTCAATTTTGACTCTAAATTTTAAATTTTATTTCAATTTAAAATATGGCACATGACACTTATGTGTATGTTTTCCATAAAAAAAAAAATGCTAAGAATGATAATTAATTTTTAAAAAATCATAAATTCAAGATCAAAATCGAACCAATTGAAAGTACAGAAACTAAAATGACACAATGAGTAAAATACATAAATTACTGTCGTAATTTGTCCTATATTATATTAAATTTACCATTTTTCTTTAATGATTTCAAGATTATGTAACATGCATTTTCGTTATCAATAATTTTTAATTTTAATTTGTATTAAAAGTAGAATCTTCCAAAGACACCACACTAAAAAAATTCACTAGTGTAAGGAGTAAATTGGGAAATAAAGTTTAGGGCCAAAAAATGAATTGGTAATACTTCAGGGCACAAAGTTGATTTACCTTAAAAATTCAAAGTGTATTAACTTATAGTTTTTTTTTATCAATGTTTTTCAAATCTATGTGGATTAGCCTTAATTCATAATAATAATTTTAAGAACATTGTAAAAAGCTTTATCAAATTCAGATTTTGTAAGTAGGGTTTTCAATAGAAAATCCCATAAATTCGTACAATCCCTGAAGTCCCATTGAACAATTAGTTCAAGTCTCTATTTTATGAATTGTAGGTGTTGACTTTTGTTTAGCAAATCATTAGTGTCTAGATTAATCTTCAAAAATGTTTAGATTGACCTTTGTCATACATATTGATTGATATTTTTTGTTATAAATTCATGGGAACTATTAGGGTGCGTACATCATCAAAATATGCACATCATGTGCACCTTACTTTTTAAGCAATAGATATCAAGAAGTTTAATTTGAACCATTAAATAATTTAATTAGAAAAATTGAGGACCTTCTCAACCGGTTATATATAATTTTCTTTACTGAAGACTCTCTCTCCAAAAACTCACAATCAATTGTGGTCATTGAATCTCTTATTCTAATGAATGGTACAATCGATTAAATACCAATAATATAAACCCATACCAATCGATTGTACATTCAATTGTGATTGTTCAATCCATCTTTCATTTACAATGGCTACTAATCGATTGTACGATCAATTGTGGTCTTTTAGCCCAACCGATTTTGCAATCAATTATGATTTTCCATTCACTCTTTCATGCCAATTGAATAAACAATTACTTGTGCTATAACGACAAAAGTTAGGGCAACGTTATGATATTTGTGTTATATGTTATACAATTGATTACACAATCAATTGTGTTTGAAATTTTAAAAGTTGTGATATTTTGTGAATATTGTTATGATTTTGGAGAAAAAGTTATAATCAACATGCTATGGTTATGATTTATTAGTAAAAGTTATGATTTGTTATGGTGAATTATAATTAAAAAAATGTTATGATAATTTGTTAGAAATAATTATATTTGTTATGAGTCATTGTCGTATTGTTATGATTGATAGTGTCTTTGTTTTGATACCGTTGTATATATTATGACATTGTTATAATTCATTGTAATTGTTATGATATTTTGAAAAATTTATGATTCTTTCATGTAACCTGTTGGATGACCGGTTTAATAAGTCACTTTTTATGATGCGACACAATATAAATCATACAATAATTGCATATCACATGTCATTTCAGAAGGTGCACGTCATACTATGTATACACCCTCAAAAGTGTAAACTATTTGCAAGGTATGACATTTGTGGAGTTGATTACCACAAATGTCATAACTTATTATTTCTCAGTCATAACTATAAAAAATTTATAAAAAAAAAAAAAAATCATAACTAAACACATTTTGACTCATAGCCAAAACAATATCATCATCAATATGACAATGTGTATAACCAAGTCATAACAAACATCACACTAATGAGTTATAACTAACACCACTAAAATTTATTTATATATTTCAAGATATGAAGAATCATTACAATAACAAAAAATAAAATAAAATATAGTCTCATTGCTTTATGATTTAACAAATCTAGATTACAACAAGAGAAAAAAATATTAAACTTATAATACAAAATAAAATTTAAACAATTACGGAAAAGTATTAATCAAATAGTACTTTTATTGTGTTTTTAAATGGGTCTGGCTTCTCTCTAGTTTGTGATTGAACTGGAGGGTACTGTTGGGCCCGTGGAGGCTTATCACGGGTCCCGTTTTGATAATCCAAATCATTCAATGTGTAAACTTATCGAGCACTAAATACCTGCAAAAAACCACGTTGATCGGATATCGATAGTTACATGATCAAATCAGTTTTGTATATAAAAAAATGGGCGGTGAAAAAATAAACGGATGACAGAAATCTAATCTGATAAAATAGCTATCGATATTCAATCAATGTGATTTTTTAACAGACATATAGTACTCGATGAGTTCTACATATTGAACGATTCGAATTGTAACGCCCTCAAAATAAACCCATTATATATATATCATTGACATGCAATATTTAAAGAAAGTAATTTATTCATTCATTCATCAGAGTATTACTAAATAAAAACATTACATGTAACATCAAATTAAATGCCCTATGGGCTTACATCTTTCCAAGCCAACACTTGGACACAAAATATGAGTTCTAACTCAAATACAAATAAAGCCCTAGGCTTGATTATTTATCAAATAAAAACAAACAATTAAAGATAGTCTTCAAATCCAAATCCTTCCAAGCTAAGTCCTAGGAGGTAGCTTATCACCTGGACCTGAAAATGATGTTCCCATAAAGGGTGAGCCACAGCCCAGTAGGAAAAATGCTAAACCAAATATAAGCATTGAATAAAGCTATAGCATTCAATAGATGGTTAACCAAGATAATCAATTACATTATTATACAGTTTCATGACACTATTGTCTAAAACACGTTTTACTTTCCAACATTATCAACATGGCTCAGAACCTGGCCAAACTTACAACAGTGTACTGTATATATATCATATTCACATTCTTCCAATGTCAACAAACAATTGAGACTCAGGCTCAAATCAAAACGCTTCATACTTCCAGTTTGATACACATTTTAGTGCTATATCAATAAAACGCTTCAATAAAAATAAGCACACATAAAAGTGATGCTAATGGAGTCCATCCCCTATCTCCTCCCAAACAAAATCCGGTTTAGAGGTCCATCCCCTATCTTCCCCTAAACCGTGGAGTACATCCCCTATCTCCTTCCACACAAAAACAATGTATGCAAACACATAACATATGCAACACACAATCAATACACATAATGTCTGTATTAATTCAGCAGTCAAAATTGATGACTTAACCATAGTTTCAGTTATCCCTAATCCTCATGCAGTGTCTACAACAAGCACGACTATCCTCCACCGATAGCCCAAAACAGTTATTTCTAGACTTGGAAAATAAATATGCCACAATTCAAATAGGCGGAGTGAT